GCGACCAGGACAGTTACAGTCTGCAAGCACAAGTAGATATAGTCAACCACCCGAAACTGGCCAGTGTGCTTACAACTCAAACCTTGCAGGTGCAGTTTTGTCCTTTGGCACTCCTTGAGCATACTTAGAGTGGCCTGTGGCTTGTCGCACCCCAATGCCTCTGCGGCAAAAGTGAGAACAGCAGATCACTGACAAATTTCGTGAATTCAAGGCCGAGTAGACAGTCGAACACTCCTTTGTGTTTCACCTGCTTTTGGTTTGGGGGGTTTTGTTGTTGGTTTCGTTGTGCTTCTTGCATGCATGATAGCTGGGTCAGGGCCAATCTAAAACCAGCGACAAAGGCCAACCAGCATCCGTTGAGGGAACCAATGGCGCCGGAGAAGAAACTTGGCCATTGATTGATAAAGTGGCTTCAGCAACGGAGGAGCAAAATACCGATGGGTTTGCGCATAGTAGAAAAGGCTGAGCGAGAAAGTATTGAAATTAATGATCTTGGCATGTATGCTGAGGTTGGCCTTGACTGCAGCCGCTAGCCTTGTACGAAACTTAGCAAGCTGTTTGGACAAGAGGGAGTGCATTGAAGTCTGGATCTGGACTTTTTCCATGGATTCTCGGTTGAGAAGACATTCCAGCCTGTGTGCAACGTCAGGCCAAGATTGACTGTTGATGGGACGATGCACAGGCTGGTACAGCTGACTGGAAGAATATGCTGTGTTAGTTAGCAGTTGGGTTTTGGACCGACAACTGCAGGGAGTGAGGCAGGGTGGGAACTCCTCTGGAGGACATGAGGATGCAGTGGTCACCGTGTCAAAGGACAAAGGACTGCGCGTAACTGGGAACATATCTGAGAGACGCGCTACACGTGCCCTGTCCTTCATCGTGAAGGGGGGTGACATGTTCCCAGACATCCGTGGCCTTCAACAGGCATCCTTCGGGAAGGGCTTTTTCGGAGAAACCAACCTGCCAGCAATTGTGCACATCCATCACAACACCAGCAGTTTTCCAAGCTTTGATGTAGCCAAAGACTTCAGCAATCCATTGGGAGTCGTTTTGAAGACCAACAATGGTGGTGTCATCAACATAGCCTGCTACAACCAAGACTCGCGGAATTTGGTGTAACGCTACAAAGATTGGGTCCATGGCAAGGCAAAAGAAGTATACAGAAGTGGACCGCCCCATGTCAACTCCGGAGTGGACTTCTCGTGCAGGCAAAAGACGCCCTTGAACTTTATGCCGGATACGTCTCCCAAAAAGAAGATAGCGCGCGAGCTGGAGGACCCATGGAGAGCACTGCCGTATGTACAAAATATGTAGGATCCAATGTGCATTTATGCGTTCAAAGGCTTTGGAGAGATCAGCAAAAAGCGCGGAGGCAGGCGTGGAGCCTTCGAGTGCACTTTGAACTTCTAACACTGCTCTCTTTTGTTCTCGAAACGCATTTAATAGGGTTTGAGCAGGATGGAACCTGTGACGAGTTGTCTGAAAGAGGATGGCAGCTGCCGTGCCATCCTGCAATCTCTCAAGCGTATCCGGCATGCCAAGCGGTCTAAAAAAATCCGCTGTGGGCCCTTGCTTCGCTTTTGGGATCCATACCCCTACCTGCGTGGGGGGTGGAAGAGTGCACGACAGCATATGACAAAAATCATCGTGCAGGAAGACTGCAGTTTGGTGTGGGAAGACGCGCCAAAGGGCATAAGGCAAGCCATCTGGTCCTGGTGCAGAGTCCTTTGTTTGTAGAAGGTGTTCCAGATAATCCTGGGTTGTGGGCTCTGGGATAGGTGGCCACGGAGTTGTACACCGTCGGTAAGCCGAAAGCGTACTATGCCATGCAGTATCATATTCAACTGGGTGACAGAACCAGAAGTCTCGAGTGGCAAGCATGGCCTCGTCATATTCAGACGCCGTGCGACACTCCTGCCCATTGTGCCTATCCCAGAACAATCGTTGCCTGCGTGCGCGTTGGATAGGATTGACGTCCCAAGACTGCAGGAGTTCTGGAAATGCACTTTGCTCATACAATTGACGCAGCTCCTCTTGTCTAATGTGTAAGCAAGTTTGTTCCTTGCCTAAAAGCTTATACAAACGCTTGAGAGGAGAAATTCGTTTAAAGTGACTGGAGTGACTCCGCCACCAGCTCCATACGATGGCTCGGCAATGCTGTGAAAGCGACACACAAGCCGGTCTGGCTTCCTGGGCTAGGGAGACTTTTCGCTTGAGGGCATGTAACGCTGCTTGTCTTGCCAAGCTTTGTTGATCATCAATTGCGGCGGTGGGGTCTAAAAAGACTTGGGTCGGAATCGTGTGATGTTTCTCTGACTGCGGATGCGGACGTAGGCGTGGTTTCATCTTCAGCCTGAGCACCAGAGCTTTATGGTGGCATGTGTCAATCCGATATCTACCATGAACTCGTGCAAATAGCTGTGTGGTGTCAAGAAAGGGGCTAGGAACCAGAAATCTGTCCAAGGCCGATTCTTGGTCTTGGTATCGAGACGTTGAGAAAGTTGGGTCCCCCAGAAGTGGCAGCAGCTTTACTGGACCTGATCGAAACACCAAGTGAGGCCACGTGGATCGACGTTTCTCGAGGCAACGACGAAGCACACCTTTTCTATGGGTGCGGATGCAGGTATTGGGCTTCAATGATGTTGAGCCTTGAGCCAAATGAATTAGGTCGATAGCGGACCGAAGAACTACATACAAGTCTATCTAAAAAAACAGGTGCTACACATGTATAGCGTAGACACGCCTAGGGGACCTAGGGGGCACTACAAACTCACGGGGGCGGGGGGGGGGTAAAGGGGGGGACCTTCGTAGGGGCTTAAGGGGGGGCTTAAGCCCCTCTTCGCCGAAGGTCCCGGGCCCAGCCTCGACGATCTGCTGTGCCGGTGCCTGCGTGGAAGATCATAGGTTCCTCTCTATTCACTCCCTCTTTCTCGTTTTCCGTTCGCACCTTTTCCGCCTCTTCCTTCTTCCATTCCTGTCAGACTGTTGTGGAGACAATGGTGCAATGCTCTGCTCTTGTTTGTTTGGAGATGACCTTTTCCGTGCCCTCTCGGAACCGCCAATCTAAGATGCTGCTGTCAGAGCTTCGGCTGCAGGTTGGGCAGCTCACACCCTGGCGACCACACATGTCACTCTGGCTGAACCTGAAAAGCCCTCAAGATTTGCTCATCTTTCTGCGGAAGGACAGATCATCTTCCTTTATGTGATCAAATGTTGGCGTGGGCTTCAGCTCGTTGGACGCAGCACTGTGAATCGTTTTATGATGAGTCTGAAGTTTTTGCATGCAGAGAATCTTGTTGGCAGAGCCATGGAAGGTCTGGATTCAGAATGAATGCAATTTCCATTTTTTCTCGTTCAAGCTTGCTGTCCCTGCTGACTGCTTGTATCCGCTGCCATGCAAGCAACTTTGAGTGTGCTGGATGGTTGTGATTTGAAGTTGTTTTGGAGTGACATTCGTGCAAGTCAAGTCTTTTGCAAATCTCGTGACGATCAACGGAGCTTGCAAAGCCCCTCCAGTGACCATATCTGCATGCTAAGCACCTTCAGTGATGAAATCTGCTTGGAAAGCAGCTCTAGTGACCAAGTCTGCTTGCAGAGCACCTCTTTTGTCCCAAATCCTGCAGCACCTCTCCTGACCACATCTGCTTGCAAAGCACCTCCAGTGACCAAATCTGCTTGCAAAGCACGTCTAGTGACCAAATCTGCCTGCACCTCCAGTGAACGTCACAGCCATGGAGGGAAGTGAATGCCAAGCTTTTGCAACGCAGTTGTATGTGCTCAGGGTTTTTGCATTTCAAGTGTTTTGAGCAAGGTTCCTGACGGAGCTTTCAGAATGTCTGGTGAAGAGAAGTCTTTGCAGTTTTTGTGCTCGACGCTTCAGTGTCTTTGCATGGAAATTGTTTGGAAGCAAGGTGTGCGTGAAAGTGTGCTTTTTGCTTTGTTTGTGAGCTGTTGCACGTGCTTTTCGCTTTGTGTTCAGAACGTTTGCCAGAAAACATTCTTTTCCACAAAATTCAAACTTTCGAGCAGCCTTTTGTTCCAGCCAAAGAATGTTTGGTTCTTCGTTTGTCCGCAGGGTCCTCCAAGTCAGCGTTTCCATCAAGTGATGATGCTGTTCATGATGGTTGGAACAGCAGGGCATGGAAACAGCAACTGCTGCAAACACACACGCTAAGCAGAAGCAGCCAACGCTGCGAGAGATTTGTGGGGTTTTTGATCCGTTTTGAGAGCTATGGACAAGTCCAGCTGTGACAGCAGCACAAGCACGACAGAGGCCAGACAAACTCGTGAGATGTTGTCTCTTTTTTTAACAGCACCAAAAATCACAACAGTCAAAAGCACCATCCAGACAAAACAAAGTGCACTCCACCATCAGGCACAACGCTGACAAGATCACTAACCCTCACAACTTCACAAGATCACATCAAGTTCCACGTCCAGAGGATCCACAATGTCAACAAAAGGCAAATCAGGTTCCACGTCTTGACTCAGCGTATTGGGCATCTCATCGCACTTGCAAGGTGTTGATGCAAGGCCCAGAAGTTAACAACTCCAAAATTGCTGCACGCCCGCTGTGGATCTGGCAGATCCGTAGCATGAAATCTGTGGCTGGTCTTTGTCAATGTTTGTCACAAGACTCTTGCGTCTGCTTTGCGCATTGGCTTGACTGGAAGGAAGGCACCACGTCAGCTGGCTCACAGTCTTGGTTTTGGGGTTCTTCCATTGCATCCAAGTTGTAGAGTGTAGTTGCAAGGTCCAAAGTGTCACAGAATCGAAATGACGACATTGACCGACCTCCAAATCACCTGATCAGTATGTTTTTCAGACAAGATCGTGGCACCAACGTCACAAAGAAAACAGGTGCGTTGACAGGGCGTTTTTCGTCGATTTCGGAAGCAAAAGATGGGTGTTTGCGTTGGAAGGTTCCCAATCTTTGCTTCAGGTGCGCTGCAAGCAAAACAAAAGGCCTCCAGTGATTCCATGGATTTCACACACAGACATAAACACACAAACAAATGTCCAGGTCTTCAAATTGCATCTCCAGCAGCATCGCGGATCCTCCAAAACTGAACAGTTTTTTGATTTTGATGGGAATGGTTGAAAGAGTTGGAACTTTTGTCAACATCTACTTCGTTATGTGCGGCCCAACTATCAGCTTTTGCAATGCAGCTGTGTTGGCTTCAAACCTGCTGGATACAACGCAGTTGTTCTGAAACATGCCCTCCGTCCTCTTTGATGCCGAGGAGGTTCGGCCGTGAAACGACCAATTTCCAAACGATCCAGGCTGGTGAACAATATGTCCCTGTATAGCAAAGGGTCAGCCGACCGTGTGTTGAATTTTTTGGGAGGTATAGCACAGCGCAAGGTAAATATGGTGTATTTCTGTCAAAAGCATGTGGTAATTTTGGTTTGGAAAACCAACATATGGATCGAAACACGGCATATCTGGAAGGTCCGGTTGTTTCTGCCGTAAGGAAACGCATTCATGAAATACACATTTCCAGGTTTTGCATGGGTGCAATTGAAATTCGGCCTTTTCAAACCGCACGAACTCTTGTTTGTGAACGCAGGAAATCCTAGAGTTGTATTATTCCAAAGTTCAACATCTACTAATGGTGTTCCTTTTCTTGAACACAATATTGGAGGCTCTTGTTTTGCTTCTGGAATCGTGTGGAACAAGATCTGTGTTCTCAGCTTGGAATGAGAAGGCGTTAACTGACCGGTCAACGAAGGTTGTCATTTTTTTTGGAAATACTCGTATGGAAACAGCATGCATGCTAAGACAACTTGTTTGAAGAGAGAATCGAAGGGTAAGCCCACATCATTCATGTTTGGGAAGATATTCAACACCTTGTGTTTGTTTCACTGCTAGATGTGCTTGCTTGAAAACTATGCATCTTGATCAGGAAATCATGTGAACCTTGAATAGGCTCTACGTGTGTCTAAATCCCTGTGTACAAAAATCCATGTCTTTTTGAACCTTCCTTAGTCTCAGAATCATGGATCCTGAACTGGTCTCCGCCGTTTCGGATCCGAAGCTGCGGTCTAGTTCAGCGAAACGCTGCTTGTCAGGTGAAGTATTGCGAGGCTCCATTTCCCAAAGTCCGCTTGGGCTTCAACAAACGAGCCTGAAGCCCGTCAGAGTGCGGGTACAGGGTGGGGGGGCGAAGGTTCAAAGGGTTTAACACACCATGTCAACCTGGAGCTGTCTTTTCATTTCCTGAAACCGACAAATGCCGATTCGGAGATCCTCCCGGAGAAACCGAAAGCAAGGGAAGCGAGGTCGAGGTTCGGTCGAGTTCGAAGCAACTGGCGCCCCGATTTTGGGATGACATCCCAAGACGCCGGAAGACCAAACCAGGTGGTTCTCACTCCACTTCCATTTAATTCTAATAGCAAACATTGTTACTAGTAAGGCAGCACCTGTTACTACTAGCGTGGCACTTGTTCCTAGTAGCTTCTTGTAGGGGCTTGAGCAAAGATGTCCAGGAACCTTTCTTGACTTCCATCCCAAGACGGCCCGTTGCCGTTGCACCCGGAGAACTGCCGGCGCCGAGGCCGGAGCTCTGAACATGATTTACTCGCCGCCGGGTTGCCTGACCGTGAGGTCCGAGGTGAAGAAGGTTGAGGTCGAATCGGTTGAACATGTTTGAAGGTTCTTTTGTTCTGTGCTTGATTGGGCGTTCTTAGCAAAGGCAGGATAAAGAAGAGGGACTGCAATTACAGATGAGTGGAACCCGAAGACTGATGGTGCTGTTGATCAATAGCGGAGCAACAATCGCTTGACCAAGTCTTGACATCCATGCTTCAGAGATGTCCAATTCTGAGTAGCTGCATTGCTGAATGCAGATGATCTTGGATCAGGCCGATACATTCACATCAAGGTTGGTAAGCTTTTATTCCGTATATTTCTGACCAATTCTTTGCAACTCCCACTTTCCCCGGGTTGACTTGGTGTCAGGGAGATGGAGACGTGGTCCAAGCATCGAGACCCCCCGAGCCACGGGCACCGTGTCGAGACCTCCCTCAAGACCGGCATGACAGTGGCACGGCTGTCTTGTTCCCAAGTCAGTCAGCCTAGGTCTGACGCAGCCTTGGAGCTTGTCATGGCCCGAGCGAAAAACCCCTTTGCTGGCCTTCTTTGGGAAGGGTCCAATGGTGCATGCATTGGGATCAAGATTGACTCTGTTTTCTTTTCCATGCCTATGGTCGGAGCGACATACCCCTTCAGTAGATATGTAAGCACCCAGAGGTGGAAAGATGAACGGTTATATATGAAGGAAACTGATTCGCGAGGCAGCTAGATTGGTGATGCTTGTTCATGGAGGATGCTCTTGCCCCCTCCGTTGAAGTTCCTAACGCTTCACCTGCTTCACGTTGCCTCATGCCAAGGTCTCTGATGTCTTTGATCTCCAGGCTGGCATTGGGAGGGGCCATGGATGGAAGGATCACGTACACAACAAGTTTTAGAGTCCTGAAAACATGCCGCCTGGAACAATAATTGTGATGATGTTGACGATGTTTTCAATCATGTGTGCATCATCAACATCACAGAAGCAGAACATCATCCAAGGCAGCTGAGGCTGCTGGATTGGCGTGAACACGATTCTCTACATTGATTGGACTGGACCATCAAGTTTTTCATTTTGGTGCCAGGTGCAGGTGGAAGGCAAGACTTGTGCCGTTGGGGCCAAGGCTAGGCCGATGAGCTGATGGCTTTGGATGTTTTGGTAGGTCTTTGTGATATCTGCTAACAGTGCAGAAGTGGGTCAGGATGCTGTGCAGCAAAGGCCTTAGCCATGGAAAAGGTTTTACGAATGTGGACATCGACCTTGCTGCCTTGCTATGACATATATGGGTTCTCATCATGCAGAATTGACGCCTGTAACGAACCCTCCATCGAGTGAGTTCATCTGATGCTTTCCTAGCGTTAAATGGGTCAAACAGGGGCCAGAAGCATCTTGCGAAAACGGTGGATGTTGTGCTGGAACAATTCCTGGGACCCCTTCAATCCGCTGGAGCTTTCATCAACTCCCGAAGAACGGAAGAACGGATGCCAGCGACGATTCGCCTTGATCCCCAACTCACAGAAGTCATTCCTACCTTTTTGCCGTGGCATGTGCCACACTTTCTCTTCCCAAGACCGAGACACCCTCTCGTGCACTGAATTGATGCCATAGGCCGTTGAATTGGGAAGTCCACCGAACTGAGAAGTACTTCCTCAGCGCCAAAAGGACGCGGTGCGGTGCACGTGGTGCACGTCACCTCCTCCACAGGTGATGGCGACCTTTGCCGACGAGGCCGGGCTCAGCACGGCTGCGTTTGAACAGATCTCGTTTGGGCACAAATAGAGGGGAAGAAGGTATGGGCTTTCCGAAACCCTACAAGGATTGCATTCTGGTGTTCCTGTTGGGTGTTGGTCCATTGCTTATTAGACTCTCTTCTCCTCTTGTTTTTGTGTTTAAGTCTTTTTCAAGCGTGCAAAGGATCACCCAGAGAAGAGAACTGTATTATGGTCCATTGACTTGCAAACTGCAGTTGTTTTCTTTTGCCCGGACCTTAGCAAGATCATTAAATCGGAACGTCCCTTGGTTTGGGTCGCATCCTGGTTTGGCGGATGGGCGACATCACTTTCAGCAACACCGACGAATCGTCCCTCCAAACTCGTGTTCATTTCGGGCGAGACGTGTTCCGTAACCCGTGCGACACGAGGCCTTGGCCGTCAAGTTCGCGGGGCATCTGAAAGGAACTCCAGAGGCGAGGGACTCTCCTGTGGAAGATTCATCCATGGGCGATGTGCTCTATATTTTTCTGGGAAACGTTGAAAGACATGGGCTAGAACCAACCATTTTGTGTGTATGACTTGGTTTGGAAAGAAGATGAAAGAAGTGCGGTTCAATATATTGTAATGATGCTGATTTGGCTTAGCAGTTGAAAGGCATTGTCAGCATCAGGTGCCTTCATGTTCAGAAAGATTCGGCCTCCTTCCAGAGGGCACAGGAAACATCATCAGCTGCCCAACACTTGTACATTGTCGACTCTAGAGGATTTGAGAAAGGGAGGATAGCTGCATGTCGTGGCTGAGTGGTAGAGCACGGGTTCGTGTCCGTTTCGGGATGTAGCTCTACAGATGATAGCTCTTGGCTCTTTAGCTCTCACGCCATCCCCGTCATGTTTCCGATCTTCGGCCAGGAGGTGGGAACTGCAGCTCCCAGCACTCCCGTGCGCCGTCCGGCCGGGGATCCCGGCGAAGCCGAAGGCTTCAAACTTCGTCGAATCGGTTTGGGTCCAAGAGAAAAGGAGGTTTGGTGGATGACGAATGGCCAGGAGTCGTGCGAGATGTGACGAAAGATGTGACTAATTGCTTGGTGCTGGACTGCTCTGTGATGGTTTCTCAGGTGACCAGGGAATGTGTGGCAGTCCGGGCAACCCTTCGGTCAAGAGGAACAGGATCTATTCCTTGGGCGCCTTCCTTCAAGGCTTTGCTGCTTCCCACTTGTTAAAAAGCGTTGGGGGCGGCCTAACTCCGTGACCACTTCCTTTTCACAGCCTCGTGCCTCGGGATGAGCCTGGTGCTGTTGATCTTTTTCAAGCATTTTCCTCTTGAGCCTTTGTTGCCAGGTTTTTTGTAGGCCATCCTTGGTCTTCATCCTGATTGGAGCGATAGTCTCAGCCACCAGGCCTAGCATGCCAGGCTAGATTTGTTTGAACCTGACACGAAAACCAGGACTGCTACCCACCACTTTCCAGCCCGACATCACCAATTGGGTGTCGCCTCCGGAGTTGCGGCTCGACGATGCGTCGCGTCGCGCTTTCACTGTCCGGACGCTGCTCAGTCGAAGCTCGGGATGGATTTGACTCCTCCACGCTGTGTGCGGCCCAAGCTGCAACCCATGGCAGAAGACCTTGAGAAGGTCCGCAGTCCGGCAGAAAAGACTGGAGTTTATGAAGGGTGGACAGTCCAAAACAGTCCTGATAGGTAGGTTTGTGAAAGATCATGCAGTTCGAGTCTCGTTTGGTGGCCGTTCTTGGGATGCAGATTGAGTCATGGACACGACCAGAAAGCTGAGATCCTTTGCAACGTGCAGACGAGACAGTCTTCCTTCGTTTGAAATCTGGAAAAGTAACATGATGGTATGCAGGCAGGGGAGCATTAAGTCTTTTAGACTAAGCCTAGTTTATATACTTACCTTTAAATATACTGCTCGATGATGAAGACCACTGATCCGTGAAGTACGACAAAGTAAACTGGATTTAGAGAAACCATCACAAGAATGATGGCTAATCATTGTCATAGTAATAGTTCTCTACTGAGCCAAGGGCTTGAACCAGCAGGTTTTGGTTCTGAACAAGTCTGACAATGGAACCCGATCAATTTGCAACGCGTGGATAGCCTGTCGGTTCCTTTGAGCCACGTTCGCAGGCTGGAGACAGACCCAGTCTTGCTTAAAAAAGACCAAGCTCTTTTTTGGGATGTACTATCCAAGAAATATGCCAGCTCAGCTCCCCCAAAAGGGGTGATAGAAGTGGATTTCACGAGAAGTAAGATGACACCACAAAGATTTGCCAAGTCAAATCTCATATTGTTTTAAGAGTCATCACCAAGTAAAGCAATTTCGGATAGATGAACACATTTTAAAGAATGTGTTTATTTGAATGATATTTTCCTGGATGTCTAGTCCAGGCTTCCTTTTGGACGAAGCGTTAGGTCTCTATCCCAGGTTGAGAGGGTCCATTTCGCTCCTCTGCGCAGCACCTGTCTGACAGGGTGAGGAGTGTAAGAAGGCCTAGGCGCAGGCAGGACAGGGCCACGCAGCACGGACCATGGGTTGGGCATAGGTGAAGTTACTGCCGAGGCAAGATGGCAAGACACTGCGGCTTTTGAAGAGTTTCACACCCATCCCAGGATTGGGGTTTTGGGCAAACTTTAGCGCGCAAGTTGAAACTTGAGCCAAGAGTCTTGAGAGGAACAGCTGTCTTCTAGTGCTAGTTGACTGGAGGAAGTCAACGGTCCCCGACAAATCGAGCAAGAAATGAATGACTGACCCGTTTTAGCAAACGAGACTTTGCTGAAGAATGTTTTAGTTGATGACCTTTGTCGGGGCTAAAGGGACTCCACAAAATTCGCACTTGTGTTTGATCCGCCCACCTTCGATTGAGTTTGAACCCGTGGGTTGGCCAGCATTTCAAGGTGGAGTGCGGCTGTTTTTTTCTGAGCGTGGGCATTGACAGTCACTCATGGCTGCTGGTTCGACTGTTTGCCTGTCATAGTTGGAAAGAACAGCAGTTCGCACTTTTCTCGAGGTGTTGCTTTAGAATTTGCTTTGCACATTTTGCACATCGTGGAATGTTGGTCCTCTGAGAACCAGCTGTGGGGAGAGTGAGACTATGAGCCCTGGTCGGAGTCAAGGGGCAGTGGGGGCACTGAAAGGATTCTGACCGATGGAAATGGAAAATGGCCACGAAGGGTGGGACGCGCGGAGGGTTCAATCCTCAAGGGCCACAATGTCTCTTTCTTGTCCTCATCTAAACTTGCTTCTAAAGATTCAGGCAGGTTCCTTCCGAAGCTGAGTTCATGGGATGCTCAAAGGCATCGTCCAGAGAACAGGGAAAGAGCGAAATCAACGCATCGGAAGCTCAAGACTTTGTTGAGTATTGAAGATGGATCTTCCAACAGCCAATATTTTCCAGGCCCTATATCTAGCCAATAACCTTTCTAGAATCTAGGGACATCTGACTCATGTGCAACTTTCCTCAACAGTACCTTTTAAGTGTCAGGCAACCCAAAGCCTCCGCTGTTATGTCCATGGCTGCGCAGCCGGATGTGGTCGCTGTTATGCTGGAGTTCTTGGACCTTCCCACCCAAGCTCGCTGCTGCCGCGCATCTGCGTATTTCACCCCACCGCAGACTCTGGCTAGTGTGGAGGACGCAGCGGCCGCAGTGGTGGAACATTTGGGCTGCCCAACGTGTCCTCTGCTGCAGACTGCGCTGCCGACTCCATCATCGGCTTCACCAGCGCGGAAGTTCTTACACGCGGCGCACTTGATCTGGAACCTTGTCGCTATCCCACTCCTTCGTCTACATGAGTGCATCCTTGAATGTCCTGGTGTTCTTGGGGATGTGATTGTGCGCGTGTACATACTTGGATGGCGAAAGCGCTGTCGTTTGACAGAGGCTTGGTGGCGACGCGTGATTGGGCGCGATGACCTTCCGCCAAGCCCAGCAGTTCTACAGCGCATCTTAAGGAAGCGCGGCATGAATGAGAACTTTCTGGAAGCGATCACAGATCTCAACCACCCGGATCCCGATGTCGACTTGGCCACAGCAGTTTTGGGTGAGGGTGCGTGGTCGGTCCACTGGTTTCCTGTTCGTTTTGACGATGAACCTGATGAGCTCACTGACTCACACGTGGTTTTGACCTTTGATGTTCATGGCGTGTCGGGCCTGATATATTTTCGCGAAGTTGAAATGGGCAGCAGCGGCTTCACTTGAAGATTTTGCTAATTCGTGGGCCTGCTTTGCAATCAATTCGCCGTGCAGTTGTGCGAAACAAAGAGCTTGCGCCTCGAAGCGCTGAGCGTGCACATTTGTCACAATCAGTTGTTTGACAGCATGCTTTTTGGTCGGGAAAACCGAGAGCGGCCTTGCTGAGCGAACCCCACACCTCCTAACTTCTGCTGCCATCCTTGGGCTACCCAAGCATATACAGCTAGATTTGCTTGCTTCAAGCGACAAGCCATGGCAGGGCGTGAGCTCGCAGGACTTAAGCGCGCAGCGTGACCGGGCGTGCGTTGTCCGCGGCAAAGTCCAGCAGCCCAGCGCCAGCCATACATAGAAAGCCAGAATGCGCGCAAAAGGTATCCTGGAACCTCTTCACGCAAGCCTGCCCAGCGACAAAGGTCGTCCGCGCTCTTTTCCGGCAGCAGCTGGCGTTGCTGCCTGAAAGTTGAGCCGCGGAGGCTGGGGCCATAGTTCGCCCAACCCGTCTGTCGTTTCACTTGATTGAAGCGGCAAGCAGGCACAAGCAGGCCAAAAACACCAGAGCATAAGAACGCATCTCAAACCATGTGGCTGTGGTGGAGAATCGCGCGTGGCGACAGGCACGCGCACACCTCTTCCCCTCCAATCACATCCCAGTGTTTTCCACCTCATGGACACGTTTGGCCGCGGTCTAGACATCAAAGGATGCTGAGCATGGCAAGAAGTGAAGTTTCCACAAGCAGATTTAAGAGCTTCAACTGCAAAGCGTTCTAATTTTGGGTTCAGCTCTCAAGTGCCATGTGCAATCAATGTGACAATGTATCGTCAGCCTCGAAAATTCACTAGACAGATCCCTTATGCATCAGTGGGAGAGTTTCACACGGCAACACCACCACCCCCACCGCCAGCTTTTCCAAACATCCCCTGTTCTCGTCCCGCGGCGGGGCTCATGAGCCTCGGATGAGTCTGAAATCCACTGGCCGCTACGAGAGGCGGTGTGGGTGTTGAAGACGGCGAGAAGCCGAGCATGAACACATGCCTTTACCAAAGTGATATTCCAACAAACATGGATTGTTGACGGATTCACCACAGTTGCTGCAACAAATTATCACCAGTCATGACGGTATTGTTTTGAGAGGAACCTTCCTTGGCACATCCTCGGAGTCTATTTGGCAGTGTAATGATTGTAGAGATCTGTTTCACACGTTTTTAACTACTTTGTTTGCAGAAGACATGTCGGGTCTTATTCATCACCAAATTCAGACTCTTTTGCACTGCTCTTGGCAGCGTCTCAAAACACTTGGTTGGAGACCACATAAGCTCTGTTTCACAAGGTCAACCCTTTTCCTTGCAGGGTTTGTTCACCGCAGCTAAGTGAAACACATCCACGCTTGCGTCCGGGCGTTTGCGCAGGCCCCGTCTCTCTGCGGTGTGCTTAGACTGCGGCGGTGTCGATTGTAGAGGATGATGAGGGCACCAAAGAGTTGTTAGGAACATCTTAGGGAACTCATTTCCAAACAGATTCACCAGGAAAACATGTCTAAACAGAATTCCCTCACCCAAAAAATCAATGGACCTTGCTTGTCACCAGACTTGTGTCAGTGATGGGTGTGACAACCGTCTTGTGAGGGGGACGAGCCGGAGTGGACTAACCATCCTGAGAGCCAGGCCGGGCACGGGCACGTCGTCCGCTCGCTTTGGGCTCATCGTCGCATCGCCGCTCGTGTTGCCGCTCGTCTCGTTGTCGTCTCGAGGTGGGACCCGATCGCCCATTCCACAAGTTGCTTTTGAGTCAAAGATGTGAGAATGGTGCTCATTTTCACGTGGGTCTTTCTGAAACTTTCACAAGAAACTTCCAGAATACATCACTTGCAACTGAATTTCAATCCCTGCACACGACTTGCTTCGTTTAGACCCAGCATGATTGAAGAATATTGCACGGCATAGTATGACATGGCCAGACATGGCCAGATGGGAAAAACCTTCCAACCCCCCCAAATCTTTGGGAAGGAAATAGGATGGAACCGTGAGGCGTCCACCTTTCTCCATCGTCACCCCGTGGTCCAAAATCGCGGGGCGGTTCATGTCGCTACGAACTGATCGGACGATTTGTGGCCAGGGGCCTTCTGTCCTGCCTGGTGCCCCAGGGAAGTGGGAGGTGATCGCTGAGATTCATTTGTGCATGGTAAAGGGAAAGTGAGGAAGCACAGCCGTGCCTCCTTGAGCCCTGTAAAACGTAGTCTTTCCAAAGAGGCGACGGCGAGAGGCTACGTCTCGGTCCTCTTCGTCCATTTTTTTTTTGCCACTTCTGACCTTGAAGCGCTTCAGGGGATTGAGCACGCGCCCGAGCACACGCTCGGCAGGCGAGCGACTAGTGGAGCGACGCGCGACGCGCGGTTGGAGCGAGCTTTCAGAGACCGAAGCTCGAAGTGGATCGAAAAACAAAACAACGACATTTTTAGAAAAGAGTATCCAGGATCGGTATCCGGCATTGTCTCTAATTGACAAATGAGGGAGGGATCTCTTTTTGAGAAGAGATCTATCCATCATCCAATCTCCTCCCAGAAAGAAAGCAACAAATGTTTTGCAAGACGACCGTCGACCTGAAAAACTGAAAAACATGCTGAGTGACCTACTTGATTCCAAGTCACCTAGTTGTTCCCCATGGTGTGCTCCACGTCGGAATGGTCGCTGAGTTTTATACATACTGTGCGTAGATGGAAGATATTGTGATCCTCAAGTAGACGGAATTGGAGGTGCTCCAAGAGCAATCCGACCATGGCTGTTTTCGACATTTTTCACACTCGGTTTGCCTCAGGATGATTTTGGGGTATTGGCAACATGTCTTTCAGGCTCGAACCGAACAGATTCCCTTTTTTCAAGAGCGATCATAACGCACCAGCCTCAAGGGCAAGAGGGTTTGTTCCTCCGCAGAATTCCAAGGGCAACTTCCAAAGACAGCCAATTTTTCGGCAACCATTTGTATAAACCACCACTTCAGCGGCGTTGAAACTAGTGAGTAGACGTGGTATATAGTTTCCCTTTTCAGACATCACTGACATGCTCTGGAGTGGTGTGCCCAGCAGAAGATTCTTTGAGCCACTCAAGCAAGCAGGTGTTTCACCTGTTCGTTCCTTTGGGTGTGCGCTTTCTTCTTCGGGAGACCTGACCCCTGGCTGTGTAGACGGGTCTATTTCCACCTTCCGTCAAACTGGACCGGTCCTCGTCCCGAAACTGGCCAGGCGAAGTTCCCACGGAGGACACGGCACGTGCCGTTGGAGCGTTTGACGGGCATCCGTCCTTTTGGGCGTTCAAACAGGAAGTGCAAAGTTTGCAAAAAGATCCTACCCGCAAGACACTTGACCAAAACAAGAGGTCGAACTTGTGCCTTCAACTGGTGCCTGCGAAAGGGCTGCAGCAGAAAATGCTAAGGATGCCACCAAAAGAAACTTGTTTTATTTGCATTTGTTTTGATTGCTCTGTTGTGTTGTGAGATTGCCTTTCTGCGGAGACCAAGTGCTTGTGTTCGAACCATCGACAGCAAATCGTCTTGCGCTTTAACCCCAGGAGCAAATTCCATGCGAGAGCCTCTCCTTGTTTGGGCGCCCAAAATGTGGGCAAAAACACTTTCACTCAATTCAACCTGGACAACAAACTGCTGGCGCCCATGCACTGCCATTGATGTCTCCAAGAGGAGGGTTTCGGGTGACTACAAGCTTCTGCGGATGTTCTGGAGCGAACAAGAAGCTCTAAGCTGTTAGTTTGTAGCAACAAGATGATACTAGGATATTGCTCCCCAGGATCTCTTCGTCTTTGAATCTCCCTTTTCATCTTCTGGAGACAAAGAACAGCAAAAAACAGACATAGAAAGCCTCAGGTTTCCACCGTGTTGGTCCCCCATACTGGTAAGCCACCGATCCCACATTGGATGCGTCCGAAATCCTAAGACGTCACGTCACGCCGACCCGTTAAGGAACGCCCCCCGTGGCGGCCGGGATACCTCCGGCTCCAGGCGGTGGGACACGGGGACAGTCCGTGACCGGTCCCGAGGTTCGCGGAGGTTCACGAGGTCGGGTTTCCTCGTCCCGCCGTCCCGTTCTTTTTCTTTTTTCAGAGGTCACACACACACACACTTAATTAGAGACTCCAAAGAGGTTAGGGTTCCTGAAGGTCCACAATGATTGCCACATAGATTGCTTGTATGGAGACATGTCTTGTTGGGTCCACAGTCGGGCCTCAATGGGGGCTCCTCCTCGTGACGCATGGAGCCGGATGGAGCGTCTCGCTGGTGGCTTCGACCAATGCTTTTTGAGACAGGTTGAACCGATTCGAACGCTGTCCTCAAGTTCGCAATGGGTTGAAATCTGGCACACGGATTTCGCATTCAAAGATTTGGTAATCGATTTGGTACAGGATTCACAAGAAGTCGTGAGACAATGAGGGCGAACTCGCCAGGACCTTGGGCTCAGGGAGGCTTTCTCCAAGCCATCGCGGGGGTCTGGGGCCCGGAGAAGAAGCGTTGAGCTGTCCGAGATCATTGGATTTGCGCCAGCGTGAGAAGGAAGAGTCAGATTGTGGCGTTTTGCAAAAAAATTCAGTATTCCTGATTCTGGATTGCTCACATCAAACGGTGTAGAAGTTACTTTTTGGTGGCAAGCACATGTTGGCGCCTCAATTTTGCCCCAAATCCTGGGGCTGAGGCAGCTTAGCCCTCTCTGATTCACTCAACAGTGCAGGCCGTGGCCGTCCTTGGGTCAAGGCATTTTGGCCCTTTGTCACCCATCTAGTGGTGCTTCAAAATGGGGGGATGCCTCCAACGATTGGGTTGTAGTGTTTCTTTCTCTTTTTTTCAGAATCTTCCTATTCCGCACCCTTTTAACGCCATTCTTAGAACCATTCACATGGTTTCTATTGCTTCGCCTTCGCCATGTTCATTCATCCAGAACTGAATCAGGAGATGCTCCAAACTTCGGAGAGATTTGTTTGGGGTGCTGTGCAACAGGGTTAAACAAGAAACGCTGACAAACCAAGGACATCCTCGCTCGTTTCGGAAGCTCGTTCGGGTGTCCGCAGGTCTTCATCAGCTTAGACCCGTTCCACAGCAAACATCGACATCAATCGTTCCGACTGGCAGAGACACGTGTGTTTTAACGCATCCTCAAGCTCCTCGACACGGCGGTCGGTCGCCACTTCCATTCGATCCGGGATCCAATCGCGTGAAAAGGGGATCCATCACTTAACTTCAAAATCCGACTCATCAGATTGATGACCTCCACCCCCGGCACAGTGTTCACGAGAAGAATTTTCCACTCCCCAAAATCATCATCACTTTGGTGGAAAAGCCACCACCTCTTTGGTAGAGAAAGAGGAGGCCACAGGAGGCCATATGGTCGTGGGATGTGATCTCAGGGAGTCGAAAGCCGTCCCCGTCAGGTGATGAGATCCACAATGCGCTCTTGAGGCGGGAATCGAACCGAAGGAGAGGCGCTCGAGGGGCCTCCTAAGACATCGATGCCTTTCAGAGGACGTCAGGAGAAAGCGCCAAAACACCGGGGACAGATTGAGAGTGGTTGAAGGGCCTCCAAAAAGATGGAACTTGGTGAAAAAGAGTTCGTACTCCCTGCTCATGAGGAGTTCATAACTGTGTGCAAACGTGTTTTTCTTCCGCAGCTTGAAGACTTCGTGCCAGGCTTTCTGAAGACTTCCCGGTCTGGGCAACCTAGGCTTTGCTGTGGCTGGGGATTGCTCAGAGTCAGATTGGGGGACTTTCGTTCCAGTAGGGTTCGGTCAGCAACAGAATCCCGCCCAAAAAGGTGCTTTTTCTCAAAGCAACTCCTGGGGATTGATGGGAAGAACTACAGCAACCCTTCCCTTCAATCTTGCTCAAACATAGTTATTGCAGATTGCTGATTGCTGGGAAACTTCGGCACTGAATTTCCGTCACTTCTGGAGGAGATCGCCGCGACCCGCAGAATCGGCCCCGAGGTCGTGCCGCACATGCAGCGTATCAACACGGGCTTCTATCGCTTGGAAGGCCGGAGCGATGAAGACCAAAATGCATCGATGTGCGATATGGCCTCCAACCTAATTGTAATGGCCTCCAAATAGCATAAGGAATCTACTAGTGATGGCCTCCAACCTGAGAGCGATGGCCTCCAACGGACTCTGCCTAATATTTATGTGTAGTACCACACCCTTCTAAGGATACGTTCCAGAAGACACTTGAGAAATGGTGCCCTAAGAATCGTGGGGTATCTTGGTTCACCTGCCACGTACCATCAGTCCACCTTCCTCACCTCCTCCAGTTCCTCGTCCCACACACCTCCGCGCATTGGAGGCTATGGGACCTTCGAGCTGTCCTTGGCGCGGAACAGCGACAAGCTCTTGGTGAAGTTGGATGGTCCGGAACCCCCAAAGCCGGCGGATGGACGGAGCACCGAGCAGCGCGGGCGAGCAGAACGCATGGCGAGCAGAACGCGAGATCTTGTGGGAACGGTAGGGGGACGGTGGAAGGATGAGTCGTTGGAGAATGGGGAGGCTATAGTGGAGGCTAGTGGATGACAGAGAACTCTTCCATTTCAGTGATCCGGCACCATCAATCAATGTAAATCCCGTGACCATCAATGAATTTCATCCAGCTCGCGATTTCAGCTGCAAGCAAATCATCCACTTAGAGACAGCTGCTCTCCTAGAACTTCAAGCCTTTGGGCTCTGTGGGTATGGCTCAAAAGATCGTCTCAACATCTTTCAACCGGGAGCACTGTCTTTGGCTTCTCATCCATTTGTTTGGATGAGCATTGAGCATGCCACTTTTGTATGAGGGGGCCTGTCCTGTTCAGACATATCCGTAGAGTTACGACGACAGAAGAGCATCAAAGAGCTTTTAGAGTTGTTTCCTTTTCCTCGAGAGGTGCTCTTGATGAGCACAAGATCCCCAGAACCATTGACCTTCCACCGTCTAGAGGAACATACGCAATCTATGTACAACATAGAAGATTCAGAATAGATGATCTTCACTTTCCTGGTGCACTCGGGTGGAATTCAATGCATCTTTGTCCTCTGTTGGATTCCAAAAAGATGTAAAACCAAGGCCTAGGAGCCAGCCATGCGGTCCGACATGGACCTTGATTCATGGAAAACAAGCACACGATAGTTTAGTGCGGTCCGCTTTGGCAAACAGGGGATATGTTGACGGATCTCCAGGTTTACTCCAAATCGTTTGTAGGAGTGGTATTTGTAGTGGTAAGTCACCACCTTCAATTCGGCACCCCTGCTCCACCACCTTCCAAAGAGCGCCCTGCGATCCGTCCGCGCCTGAGGCTGGAATCGAGGTGTGCGGGGGGAGCTCGTCAAGTTCCTTCAGACCCTCAAGGCGCTGAAGCCCGCGGCGCAGATCTGCAAGATCTGCGAGATCTGCGCCGTTTGCGGTGCCTTCATGCTTTTTGTTCACCTGGATTTGGGTGGAACGAAGGCGGCACGCCAATCACACATTTGGGGATGGAACGAAGATGAACGAGTTGGAGATTGCTGTGGGACAACAGAAACGGAGCTTGGGGATGAATCTGACGAACATGCTTCGATCGATGAGCCGCCTCTTTTCCCTATAGGCCCTATGTAGTCTCTAGCCGTGGACCCACCGATGTTGTTGTCAGTACCGAGGTGTGCGGAACATCGCCGAAGGAAGAATCTAGATTCAAGATTCTGTAGGAAAACTTCTAGAAGAATCGGACTTCTAGAATTCAAGAATGTTCAATCTATATGAATCGGAATTTCCATATGATGTTCCATCTAAATTCTAGAATCGACAAACCATGGCAAAACCCCATATGTAGCCTAGCCCTTTTCTCCTCAGCTCCCGTCACCGTAGTCGAGGTGCCGGAGGCGGAGAGCGCCTCCTCTCCGAGGACGGTAGAGGGGGCGAAGATGATTTCGTTGACGAAGTAGGGCGCCTACTTGATTTAAGGGACTAAACACGGTCCTAGCTACTTAAGCTACTACACATGGACGCAGGATAGCTCATTTCTCTTTTTCCAAGTCGGAGGTTGAGGGTGGAAGAGAGATGAGGGGTCTGATGATCCAAGCACCGCAGACTTCCCAAAGCTTGCCCCGTAAAAATTGAAGGCAACTGCGAAGTAGGGTCTTTAAAGCACCATTTGAACCAAATGTCCGGTCCATTTATATGATGCATTGCTGAACAGGGACAGGGATGATTTGACATGTCGTACATTTTGTAATGCATTTGGGTTTCATCAAGGCCATCTCAAAAAAAAGTAGAGAAGAGAGAGAGAGAGAGGGATAGATAGATAGATAGATAGATAGATAGATAGATAGATAGATAGATAGATAGA